GTATTAAAGGTAAAAATTATTTGTTAAAATTAAATGTGATATTTGAACATGTTTTCGTGTCATACATTTTTATTTGAAAATATCTAGGGTCCTTGAAATACTTTTGCCTCTAAAGTTTGACATATTTTCATCAATTTTTTTAATTTCTTTGGTGTTCGGCCAAAAAAAAATAAAAAAATACTTTTAAGCACGTGTGCAGTGAAGGATTTCAGTACATTTTTATTTAACACGTGTTTAAAGACTCACTTTCGGTGTTTACAATGGATTAAAAAAAATAGCGCTTTATGAGTTGCTCATAAATTGCATTGAAAAAGAAAATAAATCATGGATTAAAGTTATTGTGGAACATGCGTGAAAAAAGTTACATTTAAACGAATTGAGAAAAGTAGAAGGTATTTGGAGTCGTTAAAAATTTAAACAGTGTAAAGTAGTATTAACAGAAATACTACTTTACACTGCTACTTTTAATATAAGCGACGATTAGCAATCTTTATCCCTATTTAAATACAATGAGTAATCAAAAGAATATTAATGCACAGACCGATTCTTCTACAGTTTTTTACATTTACACTTGTGTTAATTGTATTTCAATTTATTAAAATTCCATGTCTAGTCAAAAACTAACTGACGTCATGTGGTAGACATGTTTTTATTTCGATATAGACAACACGTCACTGTGATTTGTTTAAGACAGGCATAACATTATCTAAAAATTTAATTTTTTTTTTTACATTGTTTCACAACGAAAAATAAAATAAAAAATTCTTAGATTTATATTAAAAAAGCCTTGAATAAATTAAACAACATGACAATGATATTCTCTGTAGCCAAGTCGGAATACTAATATCCATTTTACTAGTAATTAGTATAAAACTTAATGCCGGCGGATTTGTCTGAGATCTGGTATTATACATAGAAACCTTCCTCTTGAATCACAGTTACTGATGAAAAGCGCATTCTAATCCGTTGTGTGGTGGACAGGATGGGACAAGTATTATTATTACCACACTAAACATAAAGACTGATTGCACTAATCGCACAATGTCCACCTCGCGATGCTGTAACCAAATAAAGCGACTTTTATATTTGCCCACCCCGCGCTGGTTGGTTTCATATACTTACTAGTGGACGCCCGCGACTTCGTCCGCGTGGAAGTCGGTATCCCGTGGGAGTGAGAAGTTTTCCCAGTAAAAAGTACCCTATGTGTTATTCTGATGTATAACCTATATTGCTGTAAAGTTTTATCCAAATCCGTCCAGTAGTTTTTTCGTGAAAGAGTAACAAACATCCATACATCCATACTTACAAACTTTCGCCTTTATAATATTAATAGGATTTAGTATGTGATCTTTTATTACTTCCGTTCTGCGTATCATTGGTATCTTTTTAATTACGCAGTCGAACTATCTGGATATAATTGTTATTATATGTAGAGCGGATGTGCCAGTTCCACTCCAGAAACTTGTAGTACACCATTTCAATCTTCATACCTAAATATCAAAATTTGACTAAGCTACATGATCAAACGATAAGTAAGGATTGATTGAAAGATTGATACAATGGTTTTTTCGTAATGGTTCCAAAATTGTCACATTATTAAATTTAGCATCAATATGTTAATTTGATTGCAACTGATGCTTCCAACCTGTAAAAATTTCTCGCACTTATATGCTTAAAACTATTTCAGTATTACATTCTAAAATTATTTCCAAAGAAAATGTTTCTGTTATATTATTACAGTTATTATTTTTTATATTATCTACTCATTTTTATTTTTGATTGCAGTTGACGATGTGAAGGAGTACCCGCTTAGCGATTCATTGTTTTTAGTAATAAGCATCGTAATCCTATATCTGTTATTTGTTTTGAAAATTGGACCAGATCATGTCAAAAATCGTGAGCCATATAAATTAAAGAACACCATTTTAATATACAACCTGTTCCAAGTGATCGTTTCAGCATATTATGCGTATCTGGTAAGTCTTTATTCTTTACAGTTAAGGTAGGTAAGGTACATGTAGTGAAAAAAAAAAATACCTACACAGTATATTTTGCATTATTAGAGAAAAGTTTTTGATATAATGGGCAATACATATTACATTTGAATGACACCTAACGCCCGCAGTACGCCGACGCATTCGCGTGCGGAAGTGAAAACCTACTGAAACTAATGCGAAATTTATGTATAACATTAATATACTGTACTTGTAACTTTCGCGGCTTGTGATTTGAAACACCACTGTGAACCGCTTTTGCGTTTGGGAAATGATGTATAATGCAGTTACCTATCGACAGTGTCGACAAGGACACAAGCATTTCCAGCTTATATTAAAGCGAGAGAAAACACTGTCACACAATTGATAGTTTCTCGTTATTTCTCTGAAGCAATCTAATGTCGGTATTCTAAAGGTTTTAAAAACCCACTGTTTCACAAAATAAAGAAAAAATTCTTCAGCAAACAAGTTATTTCGTTCCGTTCGAATAATCGTATTTAGTGTTTATGATTGTAATACTTCGAATAAGATTTTTATTATATTACTAAAACTTTGATCAGTTTCCAGGACACGTGTAGAAATATTGTTTCTACCAATTTAATCTAGTTTGGAACAGAACAATTACAAATAATCCAAGTTGTATCAACTTCATTTTTGTTTTCAGTCTTTCGAAATTATGCAGCTCACAGGTATATTACCAAAACAGTGTAATCATTATGAGCCAGAACTGCGAAGAAAGGTAAATTTAAAGAAAAATTAATTTAATTAAAAATTTTATTTTATTTTACCGGCTATGTAATCAGTGTACTCTTATGTTCCTATTTGTCGTGAGCCACTGTCCTATTATGTCCATTTGATAAACATAATAGGACAGTGGTCCCACGCTGGTTTCAAGATAGTTATTTCTGAGGTACCGGGTTGTCTAGGGTGTGGGTGATGTTATACCTTCGATATTTCAGATCGTTCATAATACGTATATACGTATATGGTAATATTAGGTATTTACCTAATCTTGCCATAAACATTGTTACATAGAAAATATATATTTTTTTATTTAACGTAACATTTATTACTGTTGCTGTGTGTTACTTTAATATAAAGTCATTAAAATATATATAGAATATTCGAAGTTCTCCATTGGCTGCAATACGGTCATATAAACTTTGAGGCCAGTTATTGGAAAATATCCATTGGAAAATTCTTAACTGCCAATAGTATGGATTGTTTTATGGACTCCAAATTTTCACGGCGTTTAGAGCAAACCTTACTCTTTAAAACTGATCATAAATCATAATCAAGCGGATTAAGATCTCGATTAAATGATGGACGGTCTTGAATTCTAGTAAAGCCCGGAACGTTCGATTCTAACCAAGATTGTGTGTTTCGAGCTTAACGACCTGGCGTCGAGTCCTACTGAAAAGACCATTCTTGGTTAATGACAATGGTGTCGTTAAGGAACTTAACTACCTTCACCAGAATGGTATCTTGATACACTCGTGCCGATGTTTTGATGCCTTTTCACAAAAATATGGCTCTGTCACTCATTAATAGGTTACACCCCACCAAACCATCACTGAAGTCGCATAATGCCCACATTGTACTCTGTCAACTAATCGTCAGGTTTCTTTAGAGCTTTGAGCATAAATACGGTCATTTTGTTCGTTAAAATATTACTCAGTTGTAAAAATTTCCTCAACATTATTTTATTTCTGTATCGCTTAAGTAGATGTTTTAATTTATCACCCTAATTATTAAATTATCTGTTAAGAATTGACCAGTGCGTCTTTTATAGGTTGTAAGTCCTAAGTCATCCTTTAAAAATACACATGTTACTTAGAAACCTGTGTATTTTAAATCCCCTAGGAATCATCCCCCCTGGGAAAAGGAGTTAGGATATTTATGAAACCTGGCTATTCTACCAATCAATTCTTTTTTTTTTCCTATTTGCATAAATATTGACATCATTGGAAATGTTTATTATTAGACAAAAGTTTAAAAGAAAAGTAGAAAACAAACTTCAACGACTTATACCTCAGATTTGAATATCAAAGTATCTCAATATCCGCCTTTCATAAATTTGGTAGTAATATTTTCGATGTTAAAATAAAATAAAAAAATGAATAATTTTCTTTTTCAGATGTCTTACTGTGTTTACGTGTACTGGTTGGGTAAGATCACTGAACTCCTGGATACCATTTTCTTCATATTAAGAAAGAAGTATAACCAGGTCACTTTTCTCCATGTCTACCATCACGCTTCCGTAGTCTTCTTCACGTACCTGCTGTTCCTCTATGCACAGAGTGCTACGACTATATTCTTCATATTTTTTAACTCTGTAGTACATGTGGCCATGTACCTTTATTATGGATTATCCGGCCTCGGCCCAGAGGTTGCCAAGTATCTTATTTGGAAGAGACATATTACTAATTTCCAAAGAGTAAGTATTGTCTTCATTTTATTGTTTACTAGCTGTTTTCTCGGGAATTTGCCCATGTAAATTATAACTACAATCACCCGCGTATTATGTAGCTTATCTACTGTAAATTAAAGAATGATCGGTCAGTATTTCCGAAGATTTACCTCCTACAAACAAACAAACAAAGTAAGAAATTACCTCCAAAATATTAATATAGATAAATTGCTGATCGATGTGGTCAGTAATATTATTGTGGATTTTTATTTATATTTCTAAAATAATTTGCTTATTTGATTATATTAGTATTTTGTTGACTAATGAACATAAGAACGATTACTTTCATTTAAAATAACGAATTAAGCTATTGATTGCTTATAAAATATTTATTTCTCATCTCGCCTAATCGATGTTTTAAATAAAGTTGTTAAAATAAAATTTTCTGAGAAATGCACTTTACAGAAGATATTTGAAGTATTTATATGTTCATTTAAATATTTCAACTTAATAAAAATTAGCGTATTATCAGTAAGCAAATTTGTTTAACGCTTAGAAGTTAGTCATTGTTTCAAGATGTCTTTCTATAATTTCAGGTACAGTTTGTGTGTGTGTTCATATATCAGTTCATTGATTTCTTCTTCACCACGTGCGAACACAGCGCTTTAGGATTTCTTTACTTCGAGCTGTCTACGGCCTTTTTCTTTTATTTATTTACACAGTTTTATAATGCAAGTTATAATAAACCAAAAAATCAAAAACCAATCACAAAACAGGAATGATGTAATTTTAATATTGTCAATTTGGAAAAATATCGATTATGAAGGGCAATAAATTATTTTCAAATGATACATAAATATTTAATTTACCTTTACTAACATATACAGGATTAATTATTAATGATAGTTGTTTAAACTTATAGAATCCTCTTGTATTATAAATCAAGGTAAGAATGAATGTCGCAGTTCGCACGAGGTTTGCTGTTTAATTGATTTTATATCATGAACTTTTTAAAATGTAACTGTACATATGTAATTTATTAAGTGTTTTAATACACCTCTTTAAGTGTTAGATATACTTGAAAATTAACCATGAATACTTTATTTAACAAATTCTCGAGTAGATTACCTACTGCAGCAGAATTTAAATTGTTTCCTCAGATACAAGTATATTGTACCTAATCAATGTTACTTCAAGAATTTTGAAGAAAACCTATATGTTTCATACACAGTTTTATTCTGATTTCGGAAGAAAAACACAGTATTGTTATGAAATGGAGCTGACATGATGAGGGAATCATAAGGTATATGTGGGACCTCGTAAACAATCTCACTAAATTTGGATACGCTTAATTAGTCTTGAAAAGGAATTTGATTCGACATAATACCTAGGGTTAGATGATGAAAGTGGAAGGTGTATGGGAATTTTGTAATTTAATGACACAACCCTGTCGTCGTATTTTGAAATCATTTGATTTGTTTATAAAAAATATTTAGTCTAAAATAATAAAATTTTTAAATAATATTTTTTACCTTAACTGAATCAGAAAAGTTACAAATAACCAGTTACACCTAATTTCAATATGAAGTATTTAGGTATAAATAAATAAATGAACTATGAAACTATACCAACGAAAACAATAAAATAAACCTTACATATAAATTTGTTTTATACGGGTTCTTATAAATTAAAAAACATTTATATGTATCGGATTATAATTGACATAAACTTTCATTAAGTTTAATATAATATATTTACATACATTGCTTCGAGCAATTTTAGCAATCCAATTTCTCATTTATTTCATGAAGTTCTACTTGTGGTTGGACAATTTGTTTTTGTTGTTTTTTTTTTGTTTACAAATTAATTATTCTAAACAGGTCATCATAGTTTGATGAACTTATTGGATAGACGATAAACATGATAAAAATATTCTAACAATATATTAAGTATTATATACTTCAATATGTACCTTATAACATTATGCTGAGAGTCCTGTATCTCGCTTTGGAAGATTTAAGGATGACAGATATTTTATATACCTAATGCAATTCTAAAAAGCTAATAATTCGAAATTTTCAAAAACATCTTACTACACCAAATGTATAATTAACTAAAAAAATACACTGAGTAATTATTTTACAATCATTTACATAATAAAAAAGTTAAAAAACTAAAATGGTAACACGATAACAAATTAAATGTTATTATTAAAGCATTTCTACAAACACATCGATTTCATATTAAAGTTGAGCATTCGCCTTAAGTATAATATTGGTAAATAATTTTTTTTTACAACACTATTAAAATAATTTACTGGATATTGAAATTCTACTTGGTGCAAGTCTATTGTATCTATGGATAAAATATTAAAAGTATCATTTATTGGGCAATTGAGATATTTGTTGTATGTAGTTGGAATTATAAATTGAATGCAGAGTGGTAAGTGTAAGTTTTACGCTAACGCGTTCACTAGTGAGCGCGTTAAGAATTTGTATGGAGATTTGTAATTCTTGGTAGTTACCGCTAGGGGCGCTGAACCGGATTCCATACTAAAATCTTAACGCGCTCACGATCAACAGTGAACGTAAACTTCAAAAAAACTTACACTAAGCGCTCTGGTTAATAACTACTGCGTAGATATCACTTATTCATTAGTTTACCCAATACCCAAACTTACAATGATTGAATAATAATATGTCCACAACTTATCCATAATTTTCTTACAAAACTCGGAGGATGTATCTTTAGGCCATATTACTAATTTGACTAAACGATACATGGATAAAATTAAATAAATTTTAAATCAATGAATAGTTTCTTGTAACATTTTTTTTCGTAAACTCAACAATCAATCATAAGGTTTAAACGTTATAGTTTAATTATACGAATGATTGTGAGTAACTTAGACTCCAATCAATGTATGTTTATCCTGAATACTGTAATCCTAAATAATGATGGTGAATATTTACATTTTCATTTAAATTTTAAATTATTAATCAACTTTTTTGCCATTACTAACTTCACCGTGCTTGATCCCATTAGTAATTTTATATTGGTTTTTATCCAAAGAGACATCTGTTTCTTTTCCGTTCATCTTAATATTTCCGTTAGTATTAGTTTCCTTTTTCTTATCGCCAGGCTTACCATAGGCTTTGTAATAGAAATCGTAGAAAAGATAGTAGAAAAATATTGAATTCGGAAGAGTGAAGAGCACCGACCATCTTGGATAACCGCAGTCATAGAAGAGGAGTTGAGATGAATGCAAGAATGTTATGCAGAACTGAAGCTGAAAATAAAAAAAGTTAATATTATTAGTATCAGTTGATGAAGCAGTCAAACGTGACCCTGTATGAAAAAACAGATTCTCTTGTATCTTCTAGACCAGGCTAAGTAGGCACACACATATGTACCATTTTACAGAGGGGGCGCGGAATGTTACCAAAAATTACGAGATACGATCTAAACCCAATTAGCACTAGAAAAACAAATGTTTTCTGGAATGATCTTCGCGTCTGTTTGTACGTGAAGCATGATTGTTTTGATGGTGGTGAAGTGTCTTTTTATAATAAAATTTCACGCAGCATTGTTTATTAAGTTTAAATATAAACATAAACAAAGCCAAAGAAAATTTTGTTATAAATAGTTGTGATCTGCAATATTTAGAATATTGCAATATTATTTTTTGTCAAGAAATAACGTGCTCAATCTTTACACATATCTCAATGTTTTTTACATTACAATAGATATCAGTCATTTTCAGTCATTTTTACAATAGATAACAGTCACAGAGATTCCTCTTTATAAGTATAGAAAAGTTGACAATGCCCTCTATAATAATTATTAACTATAAATATATAAAAGTAGATGTCCTGACTGACAGACAACGCACAGCCTAAACCGCGGGTCGTAGAAACTTGAAATTTGGAGGGTACATTCCCCTTAATACGTACAGGTGTACTAAGAACGGATTCTTGGTAATTCTATCCCAAATGGGGGTCAAAAAGGGTGATAAATTTTGTATGAAACTTCTTTGTTTATGGACCTATGTCGATGAAAATTAATATTTTATTTCACTTAAAGGTATAAAAATGGGAGTGAAAGTATTAAATGGAGAATCAAAATGTTACCATAGCAACCATTTGTCATTGCAATAAAATTACCTAATAGGTATTATTTCCAATTTTTTTTATTGTATAGCCATGAAAACTGGTATTTGAGTAAATATTAAATTTTTGTAATTTTAACCCATATCATCCCAAGCTTATCTAGAGTTGATCGATTTTGATGAAAATTTTATCCTAGCACCTAATTAGGTATGTAAATATAAATTGATGATTAAAAAAATTTTTTTAAATTTATTTATGGAGTTTTGAAACCGATCGACTAATCGATCAGTAGGAATATATATGCATGTCTTGTACTAATATGTACATCGGGTGATTGTGAAATAAAAAGGAGTTTTTAGCTGTATTTTATTTATGTTATAATAGAAAAGACTCTTATGACTATTTAAACAATATAATGGACAAAACAAGCTATTTTGTATGAAAAGCAACAGTACATTTTTGATGCAAAGCGACATTGCACTTTGAGCATTTCATAAATGTATTTTTGTGGCATAAACCACACCGGGTTGGTTTATCCTGCTTGATAATATGATGAGCTTTTCCATCTAGCCTTATAGAGTCAGGTACCGTGGACGAACTTTTCCGAACTTATCGTTTGGTGGTAAATTATTATTGTCAGCGACATGGAAGTAACGAAGCAAATCTTCAAATCTATTTCTAGACATGAGAGATGACACGACTTGAAAATTGCAATCTACTTGTTGTTCCCAATACATGCGATACCTTGCCACGCTGTTATACCCCGACAATAACAGTATTCCGATGAAATGTTTGATTTCAGTAATTGTCACCCTAAAGCCATGCTTGCCTTTCTGAATTCCATTTTTTTCAGTTTCAGAACGCAATAGTTCAAATACCTCTTCATCATAAAATAATTCGAAAAACTGTACTGGAGTTTCAATATTTTCAAGGAAACTAGGCATCTCAGTCTCTTTTTCCTGTTTATCTGGAATATCGATAGCCCTCCAACGTCTTAATGCAGCAGCGCGCTTTTTTTTTCGTTGGCGGTAGTTTTACTGACAAGGTGCTGGGTAAGGGATCATCCAATAAATTGTCTTCAACATCAATACCAGTTTCTGAAGCTACGGTGGCCCTTAATTCGGCTTCTGCTAACAGTTGTTGCCTTGACAAATTATTTATATGGGTAAATTCCTCATCACCACTATCTTCATCGCTTTTATCATAATTATCCGGCGGAGTAATATAAATATCAGCTGATAAGACAACTGTGTCATCTTCCAGATGTGAAATTTTTTCATTTACAGACAAACTGTAAGAAAACAATACAAATATCTGAGTAAAAGAAAGATAAAGAAGTATAACCATACACGGGCATAACATCCTACTGATCGAAAAATCGATCACTTTATAAAATATTATTATATCTATCCACATTTCATTTATATTAATTTTACCACATTACAATATTATAATACACATTATGTTTAATATAAAATCATAGAAATAAATAAAATAATAATAAAATAAAGCGAAAATACTTACATTTTTCGATGAGACATATTTTTGAGTGAAAATTGCCGCAAATACACTTGAACTTTATGAAAATGCGCGCCAATTGTAAAACGTCAAAAATATAATTTGACAGCCATTAGCATCAAGATTACCAACACTTAAAAAATAACAATGGATGCGGTCCGAATTTCTCTAAAAAAAATAATAAGTCAACCGATCGACTAATCGATCACTAGGAAGATATGGGTTAATGGATAAAAATGTTCAAAGTCATTTTGTTTACGAAAGAAAAAACATTTTGGTTAGTGACATTGTCATTCTCAACGTGCGATATTCTAAATCGCGCTATTATTTTGATCAAAGTACCTACTTTGTGCATGCTTTAAATCAAAAACATTAAAATGTTGCTCCAAATTTAGATTAAAGAAATTGCAATTATTTGTGTTCTTCGTTTCATCAGTAATTAATTTATTGAGAATTGATAGGACTTAACCTAAGATTTTCAAGTTGATAATTTTTACAAATCCTAATTTATTACATTTGTTCATTCATATTACATAAGCACCTAACTATAGGTTTCCAAGTATAAATGTCGTAGCTAGATCGTAGAATTGACCAATTCATGATGCGGCCAGCCATTTCATGAAATGTTTGTATTTTCTGAAATGGAAAAATCTTGCTGCCCACACCATGATGTGGCCTGGCCAGATCAATTAATGATTTGCGTTTAACGATATGGGCAACTGTTAGTATGAATTCTTCATGATATTACCAAGAGTAGGTGATCATATCGTAAAATAGTTAAGTAAGTCTCAGTAAGAGGCGCTGATGTCGCATTGTTTTTGTGATACATTATTTATTTTAATTTTTAGATTATACAACAAATTAAAGAAAGTAGGGCGACTAAGCAACGGAAAACAATTTTGATTAAGTTCACTAAGATAAATGTAGGAGTGCAGTGCGAAGGTGCAGCAGCAAAGGCTATTTCGATAGTTTTATGGATATGAAAAGACAGGATTGTGATCTAACTCCAGAGGCTGATAACAATATATTGGAGAACATAAAAGTTTTTGACATATGAACTGAACTTAAGTTCCTATATGATTCACTACTTTTGGTCCCGTGATAGGTTAGAAATTTAAGACAATCACGAAGCGTCTCGTAGCGATCGTTTTTTCATACAACAAAATTATAACTCTAACGAATACTGCCGGATCACAAAATCATCAATTCTACGATATGGCCACGGCATATATATGTAATGTAATATATCATTTATTGAAAAAAATATAATGTTGCACTGTAAACAAACTACTACTGCAAGGGCTCAGGCCTTTATTATACATGGTGGCAAGTAGGATTGGCCAAGACCTTCCACGCTGACCCAATGCAGATTGGAGGGTATTAACGACTACAAATGCTTCCAGGCTTTATGTACCTTCCGAAGCACGGAGTAGCTTGAGATATTAATTTTTGGTCACCCATCCCGTGACTGACCTTTGCAAAAGTTAATTACAACTGCTGGCCGCGGCACTTATCCACTACGCGACTTAGTTACTCGGAAAATTAAATATTTTTTATTGAATTCTAAATGTGGATTTATTTATTTTACAGAGACAATTTTTTTTTTTTTTTTATATAAAATGGAGGGCATATGACTGCGCTCCACCTGATGGTAAGTGGAGGCGCAGTCCAAACGCGAGGACAGCTAGTGTAAAACAGTACGTAGGTACTGCACTAGCCAACCTCACCTTGCCGACCTGCAAGATGCTTCTTCACGCCCCGCTTGAAGGACCCCATGGAGACAATTCCATTTTTTGGAAGTACGACAAAGAAATGAGTCGCCAAATTTCTTTGTACGCGAAGGAATCGTTGCCACAGTTAGTTGGTGGCAACGATTCAATTTTTCTATTCATGAATTTCTAGAATGAACATAGTGTAAAGTGCTGCCAACATAGATAATATTTTGCCGTACAGTTAACAGCACATCAGGCTATACAAAACTGTCAAATTTCTCCATTTAATTTTAAAGTATTGATAGTAGAGTAGTGAGTTTTAAAATAAAATGTAGTAAGAAATTTAAGCTTTGCTATACTAGATGGCGTTTATGCTAAAGTAATATGCGTTATCGTTTCTGTCATAGAATTTTGCGGAGACTACGTTTTCGATTAGGTTTTGTGTAAACTTCAGAACTGTTTTTTCATTTGTATTTCAAATTGGATTAATATATCTATAAATTTTAAAGAACTTTCAACTGAAACATATTGGATATATTTTTTTTTGTTGTAGTATCTTCGAACTAAACATCAAGGTAATTTCATCATCAGCTCGAGAAACAACAGCATTTTTGGAAAACATATGCTGCCCAAAGTAACTATACCACGCGGATGAAGTCGCGGGCAAAAACCAATATTATATATACTCACTCAAACAAAAACAAAAGTCAACTCAAAACCCTTCCCTATTCCTTATGTTCATTATTATTCACAAAGATATCGAGGAACATCCATACTAAAACTATTAATACATTAAGAGGATTTTTGATATCGCCTAAAAGACATACTATGGAAAAAAAAGAAGTACTTTGACATGAAAATGAAATTAATTTGGATTCCAGAGTTCATAGGACAATTCTTTAATTGATTTCCTCATAACACTTACCATCTGTAATGTAGTAATATGTCGTTTCCAAAATAAGAATTTGTGGAACTGAGGTCCCATGGCGGCGAGCATGTAGTACGAGTACATGATGATGTGGACGAAGGAGTTGATGACGCCGATGAGGGTGCCGTGCCCGCCGGGGTAGTACTTGGTGGCGCCCCACGAGATCATCGGCATCACCGTGTGGTGGTACATGTGGAGGAATGTTATCTGTCTCTCTTTCTTCCTGATCACGAAGAATACTGTGTCGAGGAGCTCCGATATTTTAGCTAAGAAGTATACGTATACTCCACGGGCTACCTGTAACAAGAGATGAAGTGATGCAGAAATAATGTTACAACATTACAAAGATTGTCCCGCTCACCGCTTACTTTACAGATATTTATTGTGTCTGTAATGTGTGATGTCAAAAAAACGTTAATTCTAATTTATCTCGAAAACGGTTGAGCTTAGATATCCTGGTAATATTATAAATGCGAAAGTTTGTGAGAATGGATGTAGAACTGATGATCCAGCTTTGGCCATTTTATGACTAAGGTTGTGCCATATCAAAAATTACGAGCATAGCTGTGAAAGGAATTAGTTTTGCCATAATTCAACATTAAACTGTTCACGGTAAAGTACTATATTTATTTGCCTATGCGTTAGTTAGAACGCTTCGAAGTTCCAAAAGCCAGAATGGAGGTAGTGCCCAAAACCAGGTCTTCGGTTTTATGTACTCAACGGATTTTAATAAAATTTGGTGTACTGATAATTAAGAGCTTGAACAAGTATAAATGTACTGTCAAGTAATCGTGTTAAACTCCTAAAAGCCGCTTGCGGAAAGCTAATAATGCATAATAATTATAGAGTATTCAATTTTGACATATTGAAAATGGAATGCTCCATAGTTTCTATATAAGAGATATAAACTACAATTAATTAGATAGAAACGATAGAGAAATATATTAACAAAAACTCGATTGAACTTTCATTTTGAATAACTTCCAATGCAATGACAACCTTTAGAATGCCGCCGGATTTTTACACTGATCTTATAATCTCTTATTTCGGGTTTGACCTCTTTTTAACAATCTTTCATTTTAAGCAATGACTGGACTATTCGTCTAATCATTTACAAATCTCGCTACTGCTATTTGTTTTCTCCAATATTACACACACACTACAAAAAGCTTTTTTTTTTATCTCAATTAATATTTAAATTGTCAGGCTACAATTGTTTCGTATTTGTAATGACATTTCTTATGCCAATGACACACATTTGTAGCTTCGATCTGAATAGGTATCTTTCAAATTAAAATTATTCATTTTTCATTTCTATTTAAAATAATGCATAATTTGTTTAATAAGAGGGCGAGGGCAGTAAAATTTGTGTAAAATATAAAAAGAAACTTACAAATTATTTGGATCTTAACTACCTTTACGTTTCACTTTTTTTTTCAAATAATTATACTATTTTATTATAAGAAGAATAGATAAATATAAGATGGTACTCATTTCTTTCATTTATAATAATAGAAACAAGACATATAAATTTTTCGTTAAACTGCTTTACCAGTCGAAATGAGTGAGATAAAATTACTTAGTTGTTTTAAAATTATAAACGATAAATACTTAAAGTAAAATATTGTTCCATTATGATATGAAATTCTAAGTTCGACAGCCTTGGCGCCGTTATTTTGGAAGCGACATATTTAGTAAAGAGAGACAATAAGCACACTTGTCATACCCTCATAGCTTCTGGACTACTGGAGAAGTCGACCGGTTGACATTTCCAGCTGTAAGTTCTCAACCAGCCAGCGTCCAGACCCTGGAATGAACATAACAAAATATTAGACAACATCACATACATTTTATTTCAATTATCACATAGATTCTTCTTATACCAACTCAACGATAAAATGAATTAAGTACGTGTGAAGAGCCTATTACTGATAAAAGGTAGTACAGCATTGTGGCATGCACGCCATACATACAAATAAGCACTGCATACTCTACCCATAAAATCTAACTAAACCTACATTGTTTCATTGTTACTGAAACACTCATATATTAAGTGGATAAGATCTATCAAAAATATACAGAACTACTTTTAACATTCTAGTTAGCGGAATATTTTGCAACCACTCGTAACGCTGGTGCAGCCGGCGCCGCCACCGATGCGCCGGTAAGCTGCACTTCTTTCAGCTTCATCGCCATACAAACACGACTCATGGTGTACGCAGAAAATATTGTATTTGTGTGTAAAATTTATTCATGTGTTACGGTTTTGAGAGGCACCGCTTATCGGAACCTTATTAGTCAACAAAAGCGTAGCGTTTGTGTAAAGGGACATTTTAATTTGGCCGGTGTATGGTTTAAACATTTTTTCGCCATTTTGTATCGATTACTTTTCTGAACGCAAGTATTAGTTGTAAACTTTACAATGTGCACAATGTAAGTTATTAATAAATCTAATTACATAGACATTTTTCTGCAGTGGATAATGGAAAATCATAGCTGTGAGCTGCTCTGTGCTCTATGCTGGATTTTCGTTGTCGTTGATTCAAGATTTATAGCAAACGTTTTGTCGGCTGCTGGCTGTTTATGTGAACAATGTCTAAAATAAACAAACATCAAATGATCATCTTGTCCTGACTAGGCCAGGCCATGTGGTCAACCTCATTAGAAGGTACTGAAAATTTACAATTTTTTTTCAATATAGGTGATGTTGCATACCCTGCCCTTGATCAAATATAATAATAAATATTTTATTTTTAGATTTGATAGGGTCTAATAACAATATAAACTTCTTAAATTAATCGATGCTTCTTGCTCAACAAAGGGAGAACTTAGCCTTGATACGATCTCACGTGATTGCCTAGCTTGCTAGACAGACAGATGCGCACTAACTATGGTTAGTAACTATCTATTAAAAATATTCCTTATTTAGAAAAAAAAAGATCGCTCAACTAATTATTAGTATGATTACAAAAATTATACCTGCATCTGGTTTGGTAGAAAAATGCAAGACTATAAATTAGAGTTGTGCTTAGTGGTCGATCATATTTATTCCATGCTATATCGTCATATACCTCATGACAGCCACAAAAGGGTGTGTTAGGCATGTCAGATTAGGTTAGGTAGAGCTCCACATAACCATCGTTAAAAAAAAGGTTAGAGAACAGAGCGCCAAAAGGCACGGCTCTTACATACGTCTTTCGTCTCCTACATCTTCATTACTCTTTTCATACATGCTGGTGAATTTAATACGCTTCTGACTTCACCACAATTCGATTTGAAACGCTGACAGTACTTGGAATCTACATCCTTACATTTTTGCGTATTGTATATCAATTTATTGTTCATTTTCACAGAATATATTAAACTCAATCATCATAGCAAATAATAATTCAGATTTAAGCTCACCTCATAAAATAGCCAACAGCTGACTAACACCTGGAGAAAGTTGTACACTACAAGGGTCTTTTGCAGCTGGAAGGGCTTCTTGTCGGCCATGTACCGTGGCCCCCATTTCAATACAAAATATAAGTATAATCCGATTATGATCAGTCCAGGTAGCGGACTTGTGATTAGGAACCAATCATTTGTGCGGGGATCTGAAATTGCAACAATAAAATTATTAGGATAATTTATTGGGGAATATCTACGGAAATTGAAAAGTGCTTAAAAAGACCACTAAGCTTCTCTCTATACATCGGAGTATAAATTGGTGTCATGGGTACGTGGACAGAAACTCATTTCTATGTGCCTAGAGATTTGCATTAAATAAAGTTTTAATGGTAGGTAAAGCTTTTACCTACTACCTATTCGGGACCTCCATTCGACACTGATCAGCTCTTAGAAGAACTAACGACATTTACGTAAACCATGTCTTCAAATCAACATCTTTTTTTTATGGAATAGGGGGCAGACGACTAGACGGATCACCTGATGGTAAGTGATTACCGTCGCCTATGGACACCTGCAACACCAGAGGAGCTACAAGCGCTGCCGGCCTTTGAGGGACGCCAATGTAAGCAATTATTTACCTACTGTTAGCGCAGTAGTAAGCGCGTTCAGTCGGTTATGTGGAAGTCAATCGACTTTCGTAAAGGCCGCTCGTGGGATGGGTGACTAAAAATTCATTATATCTATCTCCTCCGAACTTGTTGGTCCCGGCTGCAGCTGTAGCTGTTAACACCCAGCGATTCGCATTGGGCTCGCTGGTGAGCCATGGTCCATCGGCACTATTACTAAACAAATCGACTCCATCCATATGGAAGGCTCCAGCAGTTATCATTAATAAGCCAATGATAATGATGACCTATTGTTTTTGCAGGTCTCTAAAGCATAAACCTTGGTTTTTAATTTTAAAACTTTGATTATTAATAAGCTGGATATCTCATGCCTTATTTAAGGAAAAATATAAATATTATATTTTTATTCTTACCAGCCAATTCAACGAACAGTCTGTGGTAACTTCTGGATATGGAATTATTCGATAACGCCATTTTGTTCGTTCGATGAGAATTCAATACAGGGATGAGAACGCCTGCATCATTATTGTACTGGCAAACTTATTCCTGAAATTGGAAAGTTAACTTATATGACATACTAATTATAATGAATTATTATATTAAGAGTAGATTGTAAGTGAAAATGAAAATCTTTATTGCGACATCTTTAATGCTACAATAGTTTTATGCTCGATTTATAAATATTTAGCAATAGTAAAAAAGAAAGAAAACATTATATAATTTACTAGTTATTTAAAAAGTAGGTTCAGTATATTAATAAAACAGATAAAGAAAATGTTATTTTCAAAAAAGTAGTTTATAAATTTAATCTACTTTTATATATACTTAGTTATTCAAGTCATATAATGTTTTCTATCTTTTTCTTCGAGCTATAACTAAAATTCTGTTTTATCAAAATGCTTGATCAATGATTTTATTAAACTTATTTATTTTTAACAATATATATTTTATCTTGAAGAAAAAATCTTACATAATATAAATATATTTTTTGTGTGGAAAAAGTAATATAAAAAATAGGAATAACATACGAAATAATAGACAATGTAAAGCAAATTTAATAGTCTCTATTTTTTTGGTTCGTCACAAAAGAATTGAAATCCAAATCGTTCTAGGAAACTATTAATATAGTCCTAAAGTTTATTTTACAAAAACACATATTTTTAAGTTATTCTTATAAATATATCGTGTTGTTATAAATAAGAAATGGTAAGAAACAAAATAAATGTAATAAAACAATGAACATTTTGGTTTAGAAAAAAAATCTAGAGGTTTTACTAAATAAACAAGTATAAGCAATCTTATACTTAATTATATTAAATAACTAGTATTTACTAATTGATAAATTTAATATCTATGGTAGTGGTAGCAAATAATCTTTGGTTTTTATGCTTCTTTGTGCATCGGCAATTGGGCAGAACTCACAGTCCTCAACGGGTATGTAATATCGACATGCAATCATCATTGTCACAATAGTCACTGTTACCGACTATGATAAGATTGGTACTCATGATATAGTTAGTTTTAGTTTTGAAAGTGCAAATATTATATAGAAAATTTCGAAATCGCCCCACATAATTAACCAAGAGTAGCCGGACTGTTTACTCATGACATGTGAAAAATAAATATTTAATGATAATAAAAATTTTATATGTGGCCTGCATACGTGAAACTATGTTAGGTTTTATAATCACTAAACCTTTATAATCACTTAACCTAAATTAAACAGAAACAATACGTGAAGTGACTACCAAATCTAAATTTTGTATCGAATAGAGTTTCTTCGAAAATGAAAAACGTCTTGAATTAATTATTTAATGCCATGTACATAAACTTACTAAACGTTTATAAAATATTATGCCTTGTGTATAAAGAATAGGAAATAACTTGTGCTTTCGACTGTCACGGAAAAGGTTAAGGGTGAATTGCTGACCTTCCCTATTCATAAATTAGGTCAATATGCAATGCATGTTATGTACGCTTTAAGTGTATCGATTGAAAATCTGGTTTTCTTCAATGAAATGCTTTTGAGATGCTTTTAAGTTTAAAATACAATTGTAATAGTTTTATTACAGAAGCACTGTGCTCGGTTAAAATATCTCTTGAAAATATTTCCTGTCAATAATTAACAGACGATATTTTAAATTTCCAAACCTACCTACTATTCACAAACACTGCAACCTCACATTTAAATGGAAGACATAATAAAATCAATCGGTCACAACACTACATTGAAAATGAAAAATCTAACTGGAATTAGGCTAAATCATTTTGGAGCAGCTGACGCGTGCTTTACCCTCTAGCGCGGGGGCGATACTAAGCGAGCGAGCTTTATCCCTCCCCACTCCTCTTATTTGGTGGTAGTCGTGGGGGTGAATTCTTAGGGTAAGATTCGGAAACAGGGTGTTTAAATTATGTATCTCGAATATTTTTCACATTAGGATTTACGATCTAACCTTGACTTAATTAAAATATAGACTGTATTCAGAAGTTCGGGAAAATCATAGTAATAAAGAGTTAATGGCTTTACTCAACATAAAAAAAAATTGACAAATCTTTTCTCTTTAGATATATTGATAAAAAGGTAGAACGAAGACTTCAGATAAATAAAATCTATTGAATGTATGTGAATACGAAATTACAGAGATTTTTTTATTACAAGAGCAAATTGCAATAAAAAATCATGATAATGTCACAAAGTTAAAACTTATAATTACAACATTAATCAAAATGAGAATAAACAACCTAAGCTAGCTGCTTTTCAGCCATCACTAACATTATGTATCTAAGCTCGAAATTTATATCTAAACTAATATTATACAGAGAAAAATTTGATTGTCTGTTTGCATAGGCTCCGAAACTATTGAGCCGATTTTAAAAATTCTTTCACCTACTGGTAGCTACATTATGCGGGGTTGAAATAATCAATAATTTCCAAGTTGGAAGTCGCGGGACAACAGCTAGTATAAGGATGTAACGGTGTGCCATGCCACCGTTTGTTTTCCTAGGTTTCAGTATGCAAACTTTTTACTTTTGAAATTCAACATCATTTCATTTTATTACTCGTCTTTCGTAATTTAAAATTTTGACTAATCAATTATACTCTTTATGGATGTCAGTTCGTAAGAAATTCTCCTATGCACAAGATGAAATTATAATACAATACAATATTAATGGTATAAATTTTACTATGTAATTTTAAAATAATTCATTTATGGTGATAAATAATGTGATATGGTGATACAAATTATATAACATATGTAACTACTAAATTGTAATCTGTATTTTGGAAGATCCAAAAGTTAACTAGAAGCCCGACAAGGGGTATGTATTCATTTGATAAGTATGTATTAGTTAAGTAACTTACGAACTGTTTTTATAAATTTATTTTTGTTTGTTACAGTTTTTATTATTACCCTTATTTCACTAATAAATATATACTCAAGCTAAGCAGCCTTATTAATTGACCCAAGCACCGAACCCGTAACAAGGATATATTTCATCCTGATAGATTAGTTCACTGATGAAAATGTAACGTTTATATGAGTCATTTTCACTATATTGATTGGTATTTATATAATGCTAGCTGTTTTTCCGCAACTTCGCCCGCGGAAATTGTAGCTTATGTCAACCGCGTATGATGTAGCTTCCTGAAGGTGAAAAAAATTTCATGAACGGCTCAGCATTTAGTCTCTACAAACAAACTTAAAACTCTTTATAATATTAGGACAGGTAATAGAAAGACTCTTTACCGTAAGTAGTTAAGTAATTAAGATCCCACGGGTGTAGACAGTAAACGGAAATAAACACATATTCTTTTTTCAGGTAGTATTTAATATACTATTATCGATAATTACATTTATAATGTTGCTTAAATTAATTATGAAAGAAAACAAATATGCAGCGGGTGACGTCACGCCCTTCTTACTCATATCAGATCTTAAATATTTCAAACTAATGCATACGTAGAACTATATTAGTTTCAGAAGCCCGTGTGAAGTAGCGTTTTCGATGGATTAAATTTATTTTTAGATTTTAAGTTATTTTATGAATGATATATATTTTTGAATATTTTTTGATATATTTCATGTATATCTATAAAATAAAAATATTAAAAATAAGTTGTCTAGACCCCTATTCAATCGGTAAGAACAGTCGCTTGTTTAAAGAAAGATTACGCATTCACTTGCGGTAATCGAATGCTTTAAAGTGTTTTTTCTATGAGATATTTGTATCACTGGCTCACCAATTACTCGAGCGATGTGAAAATGAGAGCACCATTACTTTAGTCATCTAATGCTAAGTATTTTTTCTTACTTCCAATATGCATTTCGAAAGATAATCATTGAAACGTTATTCAAAGAGCTTTATTCAATATGCTCCTTTACAATTATTTGTTGACCAGTACTCGATGATCTACCACACCCTCTTTTACTCACAACTTACACTACAAAAGGGGAAAAGAGCCTGATTCAGAGAGTTCTCTGTAACTGGTTGTCGATATTCTATACACACCAATTTATTATTTACGAAACGATTGGACTTAAAGTCGTTGGAGTAGAGTTGATTTTCATTTTACTATGACATGGATAAAGTTGTTATTTTGTTTCGAAACACCCTGGCTCAGACGCCCTAAATAACTTAGGCCACGATTGCCATTCGGAGATCCTTTAACATACATTACTCTTACTTTCAACTGTTCGCCAATTACTTAATACACTTGCACGCTATAATTGCATAGTAATTGTATACTGAGAGTAGTAAATAGCGTATTTAAGTTGTATTATTGATCTTAAGTAACTTTAAACAGGTTGTTGCATTATATGTATTATATGATTACTCTTTTTTTTGTTTTTTTTTTTTAATTCTAGATAGGCAAGCACTTGACCACAGATCACCTGATGGTAAGCAATGCAGTGGTCTAAGATGGAGCTAAGTTCTAAGTTCTTAATACATTTCACATTGACTCAATATCTGTGAGTCTCAAACACAGTCTCAAATCGCATAAACATTTAAAATGTGTATTCTTATTAATAATATAAATGCGATTTGAGGATGCATATGTTTGTTATTCTTTTACGTACAAACCACTGAACCAATTTTCATTAAATTTCGTATACAGACAATCCTAAGTTTGAATTAATATATAGCTTACGTTTTTCAATTCTCTAGTTACAAATAATGCATTGAAAAATATTGTCTTTCAACATTACTTTTACTAGTACATTTTTATTATTGTTTCGAATAAAGCGTAATCGCTGATATAAAAAGATTCCATAGCAATTATGGCTTCGGAGCCACTTATTACCTTTCAACTTGTATTGTTTAAGCAATTACGAAGCATGACTGCATGTTTGAGGAAATATATGGACGGTTGACCGATAGTTTATTAATACAGAGATACGTATCATGGAATATCTATAACGTAGATCGCAACGAATAAAAACTATTTTGTTTAAGTCCTTGTATTACGTGTGTATGTCACGAACTTTAAGTGTGTGTTAAGCAACATTCGCAAGTGCTGGTTATAGGAAATCGAAATCAGCCTTTTGAAAGTAGACGCCGTTTTTTTCTTTTTTTTACGCTGATATCCCCGAAAGGGCTAGACAAGAAGCAGGAGTTTACCCACTACCGTCTGCGGGTTGGGATTACCTCTCAGAGACAATCGAGATGCACCCCCCAGACGAGGCGTAGGCGTGCAATGCCCAACCAGTGTGAGACAGACGCGTGGCCACAGATGTAAAGTATTGACTATTTTTACTGTAAGAAAGAACTTGGTTAATCTGATATTGGTGACCAGAAAAATACCGTCAAATATAGAAAATCTGAAGCAGGCTTTGGAAATATAAAAAAATGTATTATTATAAAACGACAACTAAAGTTAGTAGAAACCTGGTTTAAGCCATTGGCCACCTAAAGCAAGTCGACAATAACAGAAAAGAAAACGCCATTTTGAGGCGTGATGACTTATTTTCTGAATGAGGTTAATGAATAGAATAGATTTTATTTGACAACACACATC